AGAAAGGAAAACACAAACAGACAAATCAACAATCTAATAATGTAATGCAATAACATAAAAGTTTGTAATGGTAAAGCGATTAAAGTGAGATTATTTGCTACTGCAATTTGACAGAGTGGTTTGCTACCCCAAGGAGGTTTATGATGAGCTCACTGCAGCGGTTCACATGGACCGTCACCACGTGTGGGAGTGATTTTGTTACACAGCGGTTCAAAATCACAGTTTCTGAGACAGGTGACCTATTTCCACAGGTGGAAACCATGACCCAAATCACATCCAGACAAACCTTAGATAATTGCAACGTGATGTTTGTTTTCGTCACGATGTGTCTGACCGATTTATTATGAGGTCTTATTTTTCTGTTGTTCAGGTGCGCTCACTATTGGCTTAATAAAGCGGTATAAATTATAGCTGAAACAATAATAATCAATTGATAAGTTGATTGCCAAAAAAATGAAGGTGCTCAATCAACCCTAACCCTAGACTCTGAGTAGGAGATATCTTGTGTCTAGAAATGAACAACATTTGCATATTCACAGGTTCTTGAATGTTTAATGAGGTGGATGACTTTTAAGGATTTTTTAATATGGAAATTATACTTTTTTTTTTAAAAACCACATTAGACACATTATTATTCCAAGCACACTATCTAAATTGCCATAATATGTCTGGAACAGTTATTTTTTAGGCAGAATTGCCAAATGTGATGTATTTTAAGTGAAGCAAAATGATTATATTTTGATTTTGGACTGTTGTTGGGACAAAATGAGCAGTCTGAAGACATCACTCGCTACCTAAGATTGACGTTTTAAAGATAAACAATTCATTCATTCATTCATTAGGAAAACATTCTGCACATGAATAGCTAAAAGGAATTGTTATTTAGAGTTCAAGTTTAGATAATATAGCTAATGGCTATGGTTAAACTGTCAGACAGGTTTGTTAACCTCTGTTTGTCTGACTGCACCCAAATTACTTTTTCATGATAACTGACACAAAAAAGACCAAAATTTTAATAATTCTTTACAAGCTTGTCTCCACATTGATTCAAAACTCAAAATATTTAGCCAGAAAAACCTTTTGTAGTTTGAATTTCTGCCCCTCACCTCTCAAAGGCAAGAGCATTCTCATCCATCTGTGCAACTGCACAGCACTCCACACGTGTGGCACTTTGTAAAACATAATAACTCGCCTCCACCTTTATATAAATTGCACAAAATCCCATCTCAAATTTTGTAAAGGGACTAGCATGAAATGTACTGATATGTGTGTGAACGGACCCGCTTATGGCTGGCACATTCACAGATGTCATCAGCAGTACTACGAAGAAGGAAAAGGTTTATTACCCATTAAATGTAAACGGGGGGGGGGTTGTCAGAAAAAGAAATATTGCATCACACGTTTAAAAACTGCAAATAGGTCCACTCTCTCTCTCTCTCTCTCTCACTCACACACTCTCACACACACACACACACACACACACACACCCCATGTATCTTCTCACTCACACAGAAGCTGAGAAACAGTTTAATGTATTCAAGTGCACAGTAAGTAAGCGCACACACACACACACACACACACACACACACACACACACACACACACACACACACACACACACACACACACACACACACACACACACACACACACACGATCTTTGAAGTGTCCCCATGGGCGCTGGTCCTGCGGTGCTATTAATTGTACAGTCTTATCTGAGTGGCCCAGGCCTGCCATGGGGAGTTGGGTGAAGGTGGTGGAGGGAGGAGGGTAAGGGGGAAGGGGGAGGGTGCCTTAGATCAGCTCTCATCCCAGGGGGAGACTCCCTGGAGAGCAAGATGTGTCGCAGGAGCTCTGCAGACACACACACACACACACACGCGCACACACACTCTCACACACAGATCTTTAACAGGCATCTTTGGCTACGTCCAAGCTAGTAGCTTAACAAGACAAGACTTTATTGTGCAGACTGGGACATAATGTACCACACCCAAGATAAAGTCGACTGGTGAGCGTTAGAGACGGTTAACAGTGGCTCAGATACACAATCAGTATGTAGAGGAGAAAGAAAAGCCGCCTCCTGCAAGTGGCAGCGTAACACGATGCAAATAAGGTCTTTATTCAGTTATCCTTGGTAGCCTTTAAACATTTATGACTGGGATAATGCATTATGTAATACAATAAACTTATATTGCTTCGCTTTGAGTCATTAATCAATCATTTGCGGTGGAATTGAGCAGAAGAGCCGGTTGTCTGTGGGTTGTTTACAAGATGCATCGCTGTGGGAATTTGTTTGCTTAGCTCGGGAGGATATGTGACGGCTGAATTAGATAAGACTGGCGAGGTGACAGGAAAAGCTCAACACACACAGCGGCGGGTGCTTGGGCACAAGTCGCGTGCACGTCCGCGCGCACACAATCACCTTGGCGAGCAGGGCCCCCGCTGTCACTTAAAACCTTCAGATCATCTTTGACTGGACTCGAAGTGTGGGTGTGTGTAACGCAATCCGCGCCTGATGTTTGGGAAGCAGATCTAGTGGAGTAGTGTGTTTCACGGATTACATGGAAGCCGGACCCTCTTCCTCACACTCTCTGCTGATCCAGGAGTTCAATTACAGACCAGAAGTAAAACCAGACAGAAAAAAAAAAAAAAAAAAAAAAACATCCGGCCCAAATATGTGACAGAAAAAAATTAAAACTGGGTGTGGGACTGATTGCCTGGCACATCCTCCAAGTAGCGCTGCCAACATTTGAGACTGAAGTAAAGCGGGGTGAATCCGGTTATGGTGAAACCCGAGCTTGAGACACGCAGACTGCATCGCATCATGTTCATTCAGGCATTTCCTAAATCAATAGATCTAAAGTCTGTCTGGGAGAAATATCGAGCCCCTGACTTTATTGGGCGTAAAAGGTCAAACTGACACAATGAAATGTTTCCTTCGAGCTTTTCCAACTGTAAACATGCTATGCTGATTCCTCACATCTAACACCACCCCGCCCGGGCTCTCTTCACGTGCACGCCATGTTCTTATAGAGCTCGTCTCAGCAGCCCTCCTCTTCAAAAGTTTTCATTGAGTCTGTGAGGAAAATTTAAGTTAGTTTGAAGCATTATCTTCATTCATATTCAACGCGATTAAGCTTTGTCTCGAGGGGGTTCTACGGGAATTAGCATCTCAGACAAATCTGTTTCAAATCTGATTAGAAGTGTGTAAGAAAAATAGTTCTGACTTCTGCCCACTTAATTTGTCTAGACGTGATGGAAGGACTCTTAGTTCCCTTAGTGATAATCACCACGGATGCGGAGGCTGCTCTCAACCCTGGGGGAAACTGCCTGTTATAACCTTCTTCTGTCATCGCTGTGGCAACCCTGAGGCAACACCATCATCAACACATCATCCAGGTCACCTGGGAGCAGGAATTTCATCAGCAGGTTGGTTTGGTTTTCGTAAAGGAAGTGTGTGTGCCTGTGTGCAGATGTGTATGATGCATGTAGCTCGGCGTGCACGCGGGTGTCTCTGTGCGCCTAACATTGAGATTAAACCGGCAGCGTGATGGCCGGCTCATTCAGCAACTGCCTGCTAAACTGGTAGTCTGCAGTGGACCGCCAACATACACAGATGGAGCTGTGATCGCCTGCACACGCGCGCACACACACACACACACACACACACACACACACACACACACACTGAAGATGAAGTGATCACACTATGAACTGTGGCTACTCAGATCAGAAATTACACAAATCTGTTTACGGTCTCACCCAAAAATATGTTAATGATGGCTGATATTGCCAGAACTAAAAATATGCCTCACTGCCTTGCGTCATGAAATAGCTGCGTTTTGATTGATGATTCAGTCAGAGCTTTTCCACGATACAAGCATTTTATTGCTTGTTCTTTTAATTGTGCTTATCCACAGTATGTGCCGCAGCATAGCTGAAAACTGGCTCGATGCAGTGAATGTGTGACATTCAGGTATAATTCATCAATTTTTCCTGTAACCATCTCTAAACTTGTCCAGGAGAGACTTTCCTCAACTGGAAGATGTCTCTGAATATCCCATTATAACCTCAGTGCTGTGCCTCGACTACGGCCTTTTTGCATCATGTTACATCATCTTGACTCACAATACTCGACATGTTGGCCACTGTGGGTATATACAAGTCAACCCTACACTCGTTGTCCACAAGATTCAGCATCTGTATTATTATCATAGCCATTTTGACTTGCCAGACAGAAAATTACCAAAACAGAATCAGTTTTAGAGGAGGGTAAAGCTATAAAGCTATTTTCTGTCCTTAGAAAACAGCAGAATTTCATTTCAAAGGCGGAGATTAAGTGTGTCTAAAACATGTTTACAGCTACATAGAAAATATTTAATGGCTGATTGTGAGTTGAGGTCTAATCAGTGTTATTACTAGGAGTCATTGTGAATCAGGACCCCAGGGGTGCTGATGGATTTGTGTATCTAGAATTATCATCAGTGGTAAACTGGGAACGCAGTGTTTCCTAAAGGAAAACAATCACCACCAGAGTACTCCCAATTTATACCTTCCAGTCTTCAAAGGGTCCTACTCACCTACTTAAACCTCAGTTTCATCATAAATAAAAAGACTAAATACGAAAATCATTACTTTGAAATTATATCATTATGATTAATACCATCTTAACAAGAAGAGAACACTATTTCACAAATCCCAAATGAGGATTTAAGTGACTTGGGGCTCCTACAAAGCATACCGTCAATTCAAACATCAGGGATTTTCCAAACAATGGCTTCCCACACACACACACACACACACACACACACACACACACACACACACACACACACACACACACACACACACACACACACACACACACCTAGTTCTGCATCACTCCTGTCGACTACACAGGAAGTCTGAAACAGGAAACAGGTCCAGAAATAGCAAGGAGCAGTCAAGAATACCCGTCCACTTTCTGACGCAAATCTCCATCTCACCCCTCTCTCGTTTTCACCCACACACACACACACACACACACACACACACACACAGACATCGTGGCATTTTAAACAAGTGTTCCAATTTCACACTTGGACTCCGAGAGGACTTGTCATCTACAATTGATGGTGTGTCGCCCGACACGAAGAGGTACTAGTTTCATAAACCCTCTGAACTGTGAATCTCAAGCCGAGGGCATGCAGCACATCAGTAACATACTGTATGGATGACACAGCGTTTCAGAGTGAGAAATTGTTCTGGTGGAAAATGGTACGAGGAGGGAGAAAGGGAGGAATGGGTGAGAAGAACGACGGGAATAACACACGGCGGCCTAATTATAGTCCAAGTACCAGGCACCTGGGGAAGACTCCAGTGCTATGGCAACCCTGAACACCCAGGACGAGGAGTGGAGACATTGAGAGAAGTAAGAGGACAAGGGGATGAGATCATTTCTGTAAGTAGAGGAATATAACCTCTGAAAAACAAGGGTCCTCATGGGCATTTTTTGTGCGTTGATAGAGGCGGTGAAACGAAAGAGCTTCATCGTTAAGGAGAAACTTTCTCAAAAAGAAAATCTTCAAAATAATGAGTCAGCAACCTCTGCAGGAATCAAAGATGTACTGGGGCAAAGCAGTTTTCTGAGTCTGCATCCATTTGGTGAAAAAAATAAGAGTGCTGAAAAGATGAAAATATGAGAACTGTGGAAACTGGGAGAGGAAAAAGGGAGCACAGAAAGTCCAGCTCCACTGTGGTTCCACAAAATACTTCTACGGCTCGGTTGAAAGAACTGGTTTGTATTGCTTTCGATGGGAAGACTGTTTGGGAAAAGCTTGAGTGGATTTGTCATATTAAACTGCTGCGATGAAATAAAGAATTCTGAATCATACGCATGCCTTTTAAATTTGAATTACAGCTCATAGACTGAACCAAATATTTAATCCTGGAACATCAAGACACATACTGCCAATACTCCCACTTGTGTTTGCAGTCTAGTTTGAGTTTTTCTTTTTTCATTCTGCACTTGCGAAAGCTTTCTGACCTTTTGGCCGGACACATCAACAGCATCTGCCACATGTCTGGAGCTGGCAGTGGCCACTGAAAAGTTGCTCTAGAGCTACATGCCCTTTCTGAACCGTGCTTTACAAATTCATCATGTAAATTGATTCATTAAATGAATTTATGGAAGAAAATCTTTTAATTAAAACATAAAAGTAGAACTGTAAGCAAACGCATCATGCTTATATTCAATCTCTGTAGGCCTGAATACCATTCCATATTTTGATATTTTTAATAGGTGTAATGGATGACATAGGACTTAGTTTGATTTGTAATCCTGTCCAAAAAAATCAAACAGGACCTCTGCCGGTCCTCTCTTACAACTGAGAGCTTAGGGGCGAGCTGGCATTTCTTTGGTTCATTACACAACTCCAGCGGGGAGGACACAAGCAGCCTGTTGGACGGGCTGCACCATTAAGTCAGACACCTCCGAGTGTGCCAGGCGGGTCTGAGTCATGGTGTGTGACAAGGAACGCATACACTGATATATTACAATATACAAATTGCAGCCAACAGCACATGGTTGTGAATCCACACATACATTGATATATTGACTCATCCATCACCCACTCGTAACGCTGCGTCTATGTGACCACATCCATGATTAAAACTTGATTGTATTGGCCTTGGTCGGATTATCACAGGCTAGGTCATACCTCAGGTCAGGTGGAAGGTCGGTCACACCACAGCCTTGACAGGGACACACGACACTTATGGGGACTGTGTGTGCGTGAATACTGTGTGCGCAGCTTCCTCTCTGATGGAGTGAAGGCTGGATGTGCTCTGCGCCACTGCTGAGTAATTGCGCAGGTCAGGGCGACTTGTTTCTCGGCTTATTATTCAGATTCTGTACCGACGGCTGCTTACTCAGCAGCAGCGAAATGAAGAGTGTGTCTTCGTTGCGCACTGCTGATATTTACAGATGGAAATAACGGTCCAATGGTGATGAACGGTGCTGCCTAGTGGGAGATTCGCTCTTAATATGAGAAGTGGGAGGGAGAATGCCGTGTTCCCTGGAGACTGCCGGGCAATAAAGCCAGGGGTGTGTGTGCATGTTTTGACCTATTAGATCTAATTATGAGCCAGTCAAAAACAGGAAGGGGTGAGCATGATGAACAGGAGGCTTTTCAAAGGACTGACTTGTAATGCCAAATGAGTGGGGCATAATATTTTGTAAGCAAGTTGTATCAGTAACATTTTGTCTCTGTGTGGTTTTAAAGGTCCAGTGTGTAACATTTAGAAGGATCTATTGGCAGCGATGGAATATATATTCATAGGTGTGTCTTCATTAGTGTGTAATCACCTGAATAGAAGAATCATTGTGTTTGCGTTACCTTACAATGAGCCGCTTTTACCTACAGACGCAGTGGGTCGCCTTCCATGGAGTCTACTGTGTTTATACTGTAGCCACCAAATCCTAAAGACTGGACCTTTAAGCAACCAGATCTCCACCCAAGCCATCCTTTACAAATTGTAAGTACTGTATCTGTACAGCACTGGAGAATCTGGCTTTTATCCCAGTCCCCAACCCGGCTAAAAACATTTCTCTAAACAGAAGTGGATGCACCCTCAAGCCATGTTCACCGGGCAGCATTTCAGACTTTAATTGCTCTGTGCTGCTCACAGTAGAGTGTGCAACACCTCCACCCAGACCTCCACTGTAAATCAGAAGGTTTTCTTTGGTCAACAAGCGGGGAAGCACAGTTCCTAATGTTATCAGATACTTGTTGGATCTAATCAAACCTGGTATCATTCATCCACAGTATCTCATTCGGAGGCCATGGTGCACTGCACAAAGCAGGCCTTTGAGCTACGAACTGGCCTGTTACCACTGAAATCAGCACAGATTCCTAACATGCTTTGAAAGGGGGGGATGCTACCTTTCAGTAGGGAAAAAAAAAAACACATTACGAACACACAAAGAAGACTCCGGACGGGGATAATGGCAAATAAGAAAAGTGAAACATACAGAAGGAAGCAAATAATAGCGGGCAAAGCCATTCTCAGCGTTCATGAACGGCGGTTTTACGTCACTACCAGGGAAAGATTAGTTGCCAGATGTTTCATTAGGTGGACAGAGAGGACAGAAGCGATGGACACGCAGCCCCAAAAGACAGCAAGCACCATCAGCGTCATCATCCCCATTTCCAGGTGCCATGACAACAGAAACAACAGTATCAAAAGGTCAGGAATTCTTTTCTCCAGGACAGACAGAGGGGGATACAGGGGGAACATTAATTGGGAGCGTTGCACTGTCATTGTCGTTGTTGACACAACCAAGATGGACAATGTGTGCTGTTCAGTCTGAACATGGCCAACTCTTTGCAACACTGGTTGGACATGAAGGATTAAAAAACAAATTGATGGAGACACAAAAAAACAGGGAGTGCCGGAGACAAACTCCTTTCATGTTTCATTATGAGGAAGACATCCAGTTCTGCTATGTGACAATAGCCACTCTTTTATTGAGAAGAGCAAAGGCAGGCACAGTGAGAGTATGACTAATATCACACTCACTGGTACTGATTTCTTATACTCGTATTTCTGAGGATCCGACTACTGTTTTTTCTTTTAAAAATGAATTAAATCTAGTCAAAGCATCAAGAAAAATAAGTAAAAGATGCCAATGACAAATTCTGAGAGCCCAAGGTGACATGTTCAAATTGCTCATTTTGTCCAACCCACAGTCCAAAAGCCAAGGACATTCAATTAATAAGGAGAAAAAAAACTGTTTGAAACCAGCGTGTTTGTTTGTTTTGCATGTTTAAAATTTGCTGAAAAGATTCATTAATCACCGATTAATGGTGAAACAAGAAGTGAATGCATTGTTTAAGCACTACAGTATTTACACAGATTAATGTGTAAACGTAGCAGAAGTTACTATGGCTGAAAAGAATTGTTTTCTCAATTAAGTGATCGATCGTTTGGTGTATTGAACGTCAGCGAGTGACGTCTGAAAATGTCTTGTTTTGTTGACTAGTCAATTTATTTATTGGTTTCCAACTACTAAATGAATTGCCAACTATTCGATTTTATCTAATTATCTAATCTAAAATCCCTTGATGATTAATTCATTACCAAAATAGTTGCCATTGATTTTTCTGTCGAGGACTAATCAATGAATTGACCAATCATTTCAGCTATGAATGTGACATTACAAAATATGTCCCTATGGAGTTTGATAGCAGAAAGAACAGCAGACATCATCAACATTTTGGTGTCTCTCAGAAGGAGAGCAAAGGCCTCTGTTACCAGGTCAGTTCAACAGTCAACCATCAGAAATAAATCCAGAGATTGAGATCCTGAATTATTCACTGAAATTAGCCTCAATTGACCTGAATAAAAGCACCAGCCATAAGACGTGTTGCATTCTGGTTAAAAGGTTTCTGACGTGTGAGAACTCACAACACTCGCTGTCAGGGTGTCAAAAGGCATTCTGCAAAATGTAAATTACAAACTGAAGTAGAAGTATACGGCGAGGCAGGCGAAAGTGGGTACAATACACTGTAAAATAATAACAATGGAATGCAAGAGGAGATATATTAGCGTCTGGTGGATTTCTCCTTCAAAGAATTGAAACTGCAGCGTGAGCAGCGGGGAAGATGCCAGAGAGAAACACTGGCAGTGCCAACAGGCATAATGGCATTAAACTCACTAATAAGGGGAGAGGGCTGGTCCGCCCCGGGCTGAAAGACTGCAGTATGCACACAAACAGACTGCCTGCACCCATCCAAGAGCCATTTCCCAAGGATTTACAAACACACAAAGGCTGGCATCCAACTCCCACGCTCCACACCGCGGGCCCGTCAGGAAAAGCAGCTTCCTGGAGCTGTGTGTTTAGAAGTGTGTGTGTGTGTGTGTCGCAGTAAGAAAGGCTATAAACAAGCTCCAACAAGATCAAAAACTTGCAACATCTCATTTTCAAGTCTGATTTAATCTTACTTAAATTACTCCTCAAATTTTAAACAACTTCTTCTATCGCGTTTCTTCACTTCTGCCTTTGATGTTTGTACTGTAAATACAGGACTCCAATGGGAGAGATTGTCTTAAGTAAGCTAAGCCAATGCTTCATGTGCTCTAACCATTCATTCAAAGTACACTGATTACAGGCTACATGCTGGAAATAATAAAGGTCAGCTGCTACATTTCACCTGATTCATCTGAGGAACAAAAAAAACCCTCACAATCTGACCAGAAACAGCCAAGACAGCAAAAACAAGAGGCCTAAAAAGGAGCATAATAGCTATTGTTTGGCACTATCGATCTAGTACAAGTCACACCTTTATCATGGATTCAAGCTATAATTGTTGCAACCAGAGATCCCACAGACAACACTGAGCCACAGCTGCTCATAAACCACAATTGCAGGTCCCTTCTGAAACTGGTGGTTACACAGGGATCTCTCAACCACAAAGCCACGCTGCATTATATTGTGGCAGTGTGGTGCTTCTTTTAAACATTTTTTTGACAAAGTGACATAAGTGTTGAAATCAGCCATTAAAATGAGTAAGAGAAATAAAATCCCCATGTGTCAAATGGTGATTTGCCTGTTTGGGGATTTTCCAGAAAATATTTTAGTTCCCTTTTCATAAAAAGGGGAACTAAAATATTCTTATATAATAATATTATATAATATATAATATAACATTATCAAGAAAATGACATTACTGACAATGATGACATGACATTTTTTTCTTTGTACAATATCTACGTGTGCTGAAAATGGCTGGCTTTGATTAAATAACTACGATGTTTCCCTAGAATGACACAATTAAGTAAACTGCATGTTGGAAAGAAATGGATATTTTTTGCAGTGTAGTTATATTAACAAAGCGATATTATTCGCAAATACGCTTGAAAAATAAAAAAGGATGAGCAGTGATTATGTGAAACTAGGTGCATTTTAGGGACATTATTACAGAACACTTAATATTTCCAGAGTGGTTATTATCACACCTAACTCTACGAGGGATCAGAGTAGAGCTTGAAAGGCAACAATGACAGTCAAAGCTCCTGTTGGCTTCCCAGTTTCCCGACCCCTCGATAAATGCTGCAGTGCACCGCCGCCATCTTACTTTGCTATTCTCCCCTCCACTCTCCCCTCTGACTGAAATTATGTGGCACACCGCTCACAATGTTTGTTTTCCGAGGATACCGTCATCCTCACGGCTTCGTTTACTTTCTTTAAACCCAGAATGTGGCGTCAGGTCTTCGTTATCAGGGAACAACACGTCTTTATTGACTTATTTTCGTTCCCAAAACACGCCCACTCCCTTAAAATTTGCCCTCGGGATATGAAAAATGAGACAATACGCTTTTCATTTATTCACCGTAATGACTTTAACGAGATTAAATCAGCCCGAGTGACCCGTAAATACGCGTTATAACAACATTACCGCAGTATTTTTTTTATTTTTTTAGGGGACATATTAATATGTTGACTAACGCAACTTGTTTGTAACATTTTAAATCGGAGGAAAGCAAGTTGTTTCTCGGGTTTACACCAAAGGGAAACACTGAGGGTGCAGCTTTATATCAGCTGTGTCGGACATTGTCTCCATTGTCACATAGTCTCAATAAATCAGTTAGCAGAGGCTTAAAGGGAGACTTTGTCTGAGAGGAGGCATCAGGCTGCGGAGCATCGGAACAAGGGGGGGTATTTAAAATAAACACGTTTTATGTTTATATATTCTGCTGCTGGGAAGGTTAAATACAAACAAAACAACGACAAATACTACCAGAATATCTCGGTGGTTGTGTGATGTACAAACATTGTGTAGTGTCTGATTTAGAAATATGCAAGGCTTTACAGTCAGTGTCAAGCTAGCTAGATTTTATACAAGACTTCCGGTTAAAAGCTTAAACATAAAACAATAGCTAAAATATCTGCCTTTTATTTTTTAAAACATAAAACGGTGCAAGTACCAATGTGGAAATTACTAAGGGTTAAAAATATGATTTTACATAAGTAATTCCCGCAGCATTACATTAATGGCCTCAACAGATTTAGCATTATCAAATTGAATTGAGGGTGGGTATATTCACAATACCACACGCAATATCAGACTAAAACACCAAATATCTTACAGTTTGTGATTATTATTTGTTTGACACAATTTAGTTATTAATTTGATATAATTTAAGTTGCCTGCTTTTTCAATATACCCCCCTTGTCACCGCCCTTTCAAACAACGTCTGCTTTTGCTCTGAAAGGACAACCGCTTAGCTTCCGGTCTAGCCGCAGCTAACTCACGCTAGCTTGACTCAGCTGACAGCCACAATATGGTGGAAAATACTACAAATTCTCGCACAATAAAAACGTATTCTCTTACCTCGGCAGCCAGAGCCGAAGCCGCTACAGCCAGCAGCAGTAAAGCTACTCGGTCCACCATGTCGGTTCACTGACACAACCCTCCTGAAAGGCAGCGGTTCACCGAGCGGTTCAACGTTTGTGTCGGGTGAGAAAAACTGAGTGTGTTCAGCGCCGGTGACTCCCGTTGTCTGATGGTGAGCGATACCGAGGCTGCACAGCTGCTGAGCGCCGGATCACCTGACCACAGCGGAGTGGGGATTAACACACACACACACACACACACACACACACACACACACACGAAGAAATGGAGGCTGCAGACGTCATTGTTCACACTTTAAAAAACGTTACGTTTTAATCACATCTTTAATTTACAAACAGCCACTGAAACAGACAGGAAACACTTCAAAATCATTTACCTGTCACATTATTCAAAAAACAAAAAAAAAAAAAAAAACCCAGTTCAACCCCTTCCATCGTTTCACAGTCATCCATCACAGGAATCAGTCATAGCACAGTGAGGTCAGTTCACTTTAATTACAATAATTAACCGATAAACCGTGAATGCATCACACATTTTCAAACACATTTTCCATTTCAAAGAGAGAGCCTGCTTTGGTTCAGCTGAACATGACCTGACCCCCCCCCCTCAGTTCAGCTTTCACCCTCACATTGTTTCAAGTAAGGCAATAAAAACCAGTTCATCACCAACGACCCGGTCCTTTTCAAGTTGTCCATCCCATTAAAAAGGTCAGAGTTATAATGCATTATATTCAAGGCTTTGTTTCTACATTGCATTCTACACACGATCAGTCCAAACCTGAAATCAGCTTTTAAAAAAAAAAATAAATCATCAAATTCCGCCTCAGTCAGTGAAATTTTGAAGTTTTAACAAAAAAAAAAAAAAGTGGGTAAATTCCAATAGAAGTCTACATTGTGTCCTGGAAAGCCTTCTCTCCTCCAGTGATGTGAGGTTCCCCGCCACGCTGACAAAAAAGTGGTCTTCACCTTCATCAAAGCGGCACGGTGCCTTTGATGTGCACAGCCGGGGACGGATAAGGATATTGGTTATTAGTACCAGCCGTAGGCTATAGCAGGCCTGCTAACGGTTAAGTCTCTCAGAATGGGGGAGTGTACTTATGACCTGCATTGTGTTAAAGGTGTTATTTATTTCCCCCTCCATTTGGTCCAAGCAGCAGGAGTGACATTGCATTGTCTGGGAGTTTGGGCCTGCTGAATTATATTGCACTGGGCCACCCTTATTCTTTTCATTAAATATGGTGATTTCTGTTCCTTAAACTGTCTTTAACCCCGTTAGCAACAGCTTTAGAAGGCGGGGATTCACTTGCGGGTGCAGCCGGGGTAAGGAGGAGGGGGCGAGTAGTTGGCCGGCCGAGGCTGAGTAGGAGTGTAAGGCGGGGGGTGCACCGAGGGAGGGTACATCTCGTAGTCGTAGGTGTATGGAGGCGGAGGACCTGAGCACAGGAAAGAGAAAGCAGTGAGGATTAGTTCAGCAAGAAGGTCAAAAATAATTTTCTCCATAATTACAAACTTCAGGGTAGAAGGTGAGCGAGGCCCACTTAAGCTCAGGAAGGCTGCCCCCATTTTAAAAGAGTTTGATGGGACAGTTGCGCCCTCTAGTGGATGAACGGAGAAGCTGCACTCCCTGGAGGAAGGCGCTTGCTGTGAATGACTGAAGCTCAAAAATAAAAGCAGCAAAAAGTCCTTTTGTTGACCACAATGCATCAGTCTCACCAGGGGAACTTACATTATTCACTGAAACTTCAAAAGCAGCACAGACGAAAGAAAAGAATGAATGTTAGTCAGCTAAACCTCACATTTACAGCACTAACTGTTAATAACTCGCAGTCCAGCATGTTACAGGACGAGTTTCGTTTTAAAATTTCCACTGCTGCCCTGAAAAAAGAGGTTTGGCATGATGAGAAAAAATAAACTTATTTTTTTAAAGCCCTCCTCCACTCATCGGTTTCTCTTCTTGTCCCTATAGTGTGCTGTTTGAATGATGTCTGTGCAGAGTTTGACACTAGGAGGATGTTTTCACATTCATCTGCTGAAAGAGGAAAGTTTCTCTGAGCTCATTGAAAATCAGATTTTAAAGGGGCGGGGTCTACAGGGATGATTTGTGACATCACAAATAATTTGGAAGTAAATCCTGGTCCAGTATGCAACTTAAAACTTAAAGCTGCCACAGACACCATAGGTCTTAATACATGTCTGAAGAGGATCTAAATACAAGTGAATAATATAAGCACTAATCACCAACTCATCTTTGTGGCAAGTGGAGCAGGAAAATAATAACACCACTCCCCACAGATATAATCCATATCTCTGCAGCTACATACATACATACATACATACATACATATGCATTCATATTACACGGCTTTGTGTGTCTCGGCATCATGCTTATGAAACATGATCAGAGCTGCGGGGCAGAGCGAAGACTGTCGGTCCAGCGTAGCATGAAGGCGATACCGAGGAGAATGAAACGCAATGAATAAATGATGAGACCCCGAAAAGAGAAAAAAAAAAAAGCATTCGCGGGGCTGGGGAGAGTCGGAGCGTAGAGTCTGATGTGCAGACAACGTACCTGTGAGGACAATGTGGGAACACTGTCGCCGGTTTTCTCCCTTGGAGCGGGAACAGGCCGTAACAGAAAGGAAGCAGTGGGCATGAAGGTGTATTTATGTGAATTTAAGTAGCCAGTTATGTGTCTGAAATCATTGGGCTCATGGTTAAGCGGTGGATGGTTTGTATTCTTATACATCCTGAAAAGAATCCGCTCTCTCTTTGTGTTACTAGGCTGGAACAGCGCTCAGGGCCAAGGTGGACCCTGTAACACGGTACGCTCATTCATTTCTCTTTTCATATGTGGTCGCCTGAGGCCAGGGAGACTGGGTGTCACTGTGTGTAAACTGCAGTTAGCCATCATGTAGACACTGATAAATAAGCTGGAACCAGAGTTATTATGTGGTTTTGTTACACATAATAACTGAATATTAAAATCATCCATCTTTGCTCACTGCATCCATCACTGTCTGAACGGCATTAGAAGCAGGTATTTATTGGTAGTTTCAGTGTTTTATTCTGAATAAAATAGGGGGGATTTGTCAGGGACATGATTTAAAGATATAATAATATGTAACATTTCTGCATTAAAAAAAATCTAAAAATGTTGTTTCCAGCAATGTTCAAACCCAGAGAAAGCTGTCATTTTATTCAGGTAACGCTGCGTTTCACAGGTCACCTGCCAATGGCGTCATATCCCTTTTGTGCATGGGTCAGCGTTGTCTGCCAGAAACTGCCATAAATTGACTTTTTTATCCAGTTTCACACTTTTTTGATCTTGGTGGTTTATAACGGATAAAAAAGGATTTCAGTCAGTACGTCTGGATCTTATATCAGAGAAACAACCTGCACCTCAGCTCGCAGGCCCTCCGGCACGTCCTTTGTCTGTCAAACAGTGTCAAAGAAACATTGATTTTTAAGATGAAACTGCTTTATTCAGAGTCTTTACAGTTTTTGTTTTGTAAGTACACAATCGTTAATTTACTTTAGTTAATTCCAATGTATTTATTTTTTTTTTCACAACCAGGTTTAGTTTTTAGTTTCGTTTTATCCCTCTGGCTCATTTATATCCTTTAAAAGTGTGTGTGTCTGTGTGTGTGTGTGTGTACGGCCTGTGTAGACCCACCTGGGTAGCCCTGGGTCACAGTGTTGATGTAGGAGGTGCTGAACACGCCGACCCGAGCGCCCCGCCCGTTCTTCATGCACATACACACGCACAGGAACAAGGCCGCCACCGCCCCCATCAGGAACACCACGCCGAAAACGATACCAGAGATGGCAGTGCCTCTGGAACACACACACACACACAAACACACACACAGTAAGCCACCCAGTCAAGTGTGATGGGAGGCAGCTGTCTCAAACAGACATGCTACCAATACCTCTAAGTTGCTGCCATGGAGATGGACCACAGCATCTGATGTAACTCAGCTGTGTGATGTGTGTGTGTGCAGAGTGTGTGGCAGTGTGACAGCGTGTGTGTGCATTGGTGTGTGTGGTGTGTTCACTGCAGAGGAGTCTGTGAATTGGCACTATGAAATAGAAAAAAAAAAAAACACTCATCATTAACAGGTTTGTTACGTCTTCATAGTCAGCGTTAGTCAGCATGTCAGATTCAGCCCTGCTTGTTCAAGAGCAGCAAATTCAGACTTTTACCAAGTCCTTCAACAGTTTGCATTAAATACAAATATCATAAAACTTTCATAAACAAACACTGCTTTTCCTAAAAGGAAACATAAGTCTGGGAACTTGGTGAAAGTGTGAAGGCAGCTGTGCTGAATCAATACAGGATGGAGGGTTAAAGGTCAGATCCTCTGAAGGGTCTTCTGGCACGGTAAAAGACAGCTGGTGTGCAAATTAGTTCCCTCTCATTTGTACCTTTTCGCCAGATCCAGCACTAAACCAAACCTCTAGGAGTGTGTAACTCAGAAAATGTTAATATAAAGTTTAATGGTGGTTGAGAGATACGCTTCAGCTCTTCAACAGCAAACTCACACAATACATTTGTTGTTCGACAACTGCAAGAGAAAAGGCTATGACTTGTTGGATATAATTTTCCTGCAAGCAAGCAGCACTTATTTTAATGAGAAATCTTAATTATTGACATGGTCCACCCCCCATTCCCACAGTCTGATATAGCACTTCCTTAGTTTGTGTTTTGAGTAAGTTGAGGCGACAAAATGTTAAGTTTGTACGGAATGCAGTTTATCTTTATAGATTATATTGATGCCGAATTGAAAAGGAGACTGTCGGCATATGACGTCCTTCAGCTTGCGTTTCTAGAGTTATGCGTTGTTTTGGACATGTAAGGAATTGTTAAAATGTTGTATTTCTTAAAGGCAGTTTGGCGCAGGGAGCTTTTAATTCAAACCGCTAAGGCGCATATTTAAGGTTTTCATCACCACTACAGAAACACTAGGTGGTATCTTAGTATTGATACACCGTAGCAACCCTAGTAGGCAGTCTTTCAATGTGGCCAAAGACACATTGTGTACACACTCCTAAAGGAATGTGTGCAAATGTGTCCCAACTGCTTTTATACCTGCTTGAAGGTCTTGTTGGTAATGTAACTTACTTCAGCCATATTTGTGACCCTTTACCCTGTGATAATCCTACGTCAAGCCTTTCCAACAACAATACAAGATGAGTGTTTTGAAAAAAAAGTCAAACGTGGTCTTAATTTGCCTGCGTGTTAACTTACGAGAGGACGTCACCAACGTAGGCGTAGTAGGAGCAGCAGAAAGGCGGAGATCCATCGCAGCAATACTCTATACAGCCTTCACACTGGGCTTTGCTGCCACCTGCAACACACACACACGCACACACACTGTTTTAGTATCTGCTAATAGAGGATGTTAAATTTTGTGGAACCAGAGATCACCAGCAATTCCCAGAGTGCTGGTAGACAGAGAGAAATGTCATTAGTACAGACAAAGTCTTTAAAATACACATTAAGCTTTTCGGTGGAATAATTGAGAATAAAATAACACCTTTATAACATGTTTTTTTAAAGGTTAATGGGGTTATAAAAGGAAAAAAATACTTTAAGTTAAACAAGTTGTTAAGAAGTCTAAGAGGTGCCAACTTAAAACAAAAGAATGCTTTTAAAAAAGAAACCGTTCAGTCAGGTCGTGTTATCTGAGAGACTTTTTTAACCTTCGCCTGGATGAAAAAGTACTTGAACGCTATAATAAAACCTTTCATGGACCAACCTCAAAAAGCACACAACCTCAAACCAGCAGCCTCTATTTATACCTTCAAAAGACGGATTTAAAAGTGTGAAGACAGTCAATTTATTATGAACTCTGAGAACTGGAGAAGCCCTTGCCCGTTTTTAAAAAAGAAGCAATCAATACCTGTGGAGCGTCTGGGGGAAAGAAAAATATCTCTGTGGTTGGTTCACAGAGGGACCTTGGGTTTTGTTCCAATAAACAACCCCTGCTGGCCTGCATTATTGTATATAACATTTTTAAATATCAGGAACAAAAAAATAAAAGCACTGGGAGATTTAAACAAGTCTCCACCTACAGGAAGCCTTCAAAGTCTTTTAAGCAGGGGGTTGTGATTTCCTCCTTTTTCTTGGATTAAGAACAGACTCAAACAGAGCTTTAATTACATACAAACAACTGCATAACACAATACAAAGATCACATGGCAACAAGCGAGCGTTGCCATGTTACAGCTATGAGTTATGCTTGATGTATTTTTCCATGTCCTGGGCTGACTGAGGCAGCGAATCGGCCATGTGCATCAAACACTGTTGACTGCAAACTGGCTGCATCTGACAGAAGAGTCTACTGGCACCGCCTGGGAGATTAGCACACTACTTATGAAAGCATGGCATTATCGATGAGTTTGCACCACGTTTAGTCGCCAGAGTTACTCTTCTCAAATTTTATGACATAACAGCAGCAAAAACTGGTCTTTTTTTGTTAGGGTTTTTGTCCATTTGTTGGTTAGTTTGCCTTGTATCCATCAGGGGATGTGAATGAAATTTAGTGGAGGGATCAGGAACAAGTTGTTGGACATTTCAGTTGTGCTGCATACATTTACACTATTTTGTCTTGACTCAAGCCTTTTGCTCCTCCGGGGAGCACAGGCCATTGACAAATGTCCTCCACCTCACTGGTTTTTTAGCGATTCTCTCAAGCTCCTACATTTCGGCCTGGACACCTCTTCTCCAGCTGTTATTTTCCTTCTCCCTGGGGAGGGGAGGGTCCATTTCAGGGCTTGTCGGGTGATGTTTGTGGTAGGTTTTCAGAGGGTGTGTCCAACTCCACTTTCTCCTTTTATCTTGGCTTGTCCTTTGTTTTCAACAGTTGTTTTGAATATAGAGATTTCACTGGTCCCAGCCTCTCAGGGGACTCAATAATGGACTATGCAAAACATGGTGAGTTGCAACCCTAACAGAGCCTAAGTTGTGAGTCCAGACTCTCTTTAACCTGACTACACCAAATGGTCTGTAACAGACCCATCTGGGAATTCATCGTTGGAAACTGTTTGGGAAAGTGCAGGCCCCTTGACATGCGAATACTTGGCAGGCGATTGGATGAACCATCTGTCTTTTAGAGTCCATAGGGCCAAACTTAGCAAAGCCAGTTGGGACAAGAGTAAAAACATATTTTCCGTCGAGAAAAGCCTTCAGTGCTGTTCTTTTCTTTTCATGAATAAAAACTCTCCAGTTCTGGTATAACTGACACTAGCACTAACCTCTTTAGCGGCAGCCACTGTTGTTTTCAAGCAACTAACAGTCACTTCTCACTACAGTTGTTCCAATACCAGCATTGGAAATTGCCTAAAATGCAGTATCAGGTATCAACGAGTATGTCTGTGCACCGATCCCATAACAGGACTACTTCCCAGCAACGTCCCATTGTGCTTTTTTCCCCCTCAAGATAGCAAAGTCATGACCCGCCCACCCTAAGTCAGGTCATATAACAATATGTGTACATCAGATCAGTATCAGGAAGGACAAACTGGTATTGGAACATCTCTACTGGTCACACACACACCTCGTGTTAAACCAAGCCCATAGCTCGTGTCGTAACTACCAGTAGTTCCTCACAGGGCGCCGACTGGTCCGGTACCACTGTGGTTGGACACACATGGATTGAATCATGGGAAGATGGATTCCAGCTGCCTCGCAAGATAAGGAGACCTTCAGCAGATTATCAAATACATTTAATCTGATTGAAACGATGTCTTCAAGTTTAAATGGGCAGTTTAATTGTACACGTTTATTCCGCACAGGGAGGACTATTCGCTGGAAGAGCTTTGTCAAGTCTTAGAAATTAACTATGATAGGGTCATCAAGGTCATCTCAACTCAGGCTTGGAGATTGTTAACAGAAAGCATTGAAGACGTGAGCATTTACCAGGCAGAGCTGCATTATGGGAAGTGTAGGATCCAGCCTTTTTGGAGCTTGACCCATACTAATAAATACAAGTCAGGATGAATCCCCCCCCACCTTATGGAAGTGCAGTATGGAGTGCCCCCCCTTTAGTGGAGGAGTTGATGAAGGTTACTCTAAACCTGTACCACAGAAACGGAAGGCGTGAGAACCGATGGACACAGAATCGTGAGCCACTCTGCTCCAGCAACTGAATTAATTACTTTTTGAGTGGGAGGTCATTTAAAAATGGGACACAGAATGACTGACGTGTGTCTGCGGGGGGGGGGTCCAAATCAGAGACGATTTAAGAGCCACCGTTTACCACTCCTGCACCGACACAATTCATGATCCGGCACGCTCATTTTACATCGAACATGCTTATTCCTGCAGACGTGGCATTTGCAGGATCTATTACATGCTTTTGTGTGCGTGATTAATGTGGTTCATTATCCCCCACCCCCACCCAGCCAGAGCCTCCATATTCAAAAGCAGTGCACACACAGCTGTGCCTCTCTGTGTACTCGTCTCAACCTGCTGCCACGACACGAGCCTTTTTCATCTGAAGGCTCCCCCCCCCCAACCATCCACCTTCCTTCACGAGCTGGCGATATCTGTGTTCCTCGCTGTCGTGTAGAAAGTCTTTCACAAATCGGGAGAGCGTCAACACACACTTCAAATCAAGGGCAATGCAAAGAAAAACAAGCTCTGCCTGTGTGTGTGTGTGTGTGTGTGTGTGTCTTTGCTTATAGGATCTGCTTTCTCTCAGCAATCACTCACACTCAAATGATGTGTGCCTGAAGGCATACATGCACATTTCCAGGCATGAGTTCACACACAGGTAGAGAACCAAAGACTGAAAGCAGCCTTTTAATTACTGCAGGAGGACGGACCTTCACAATGCTATTAAACAACTGTGTGTACTTTTTAAATCTACACTTTTAAAACAGAAATCTTTGTTTTTCTGTGATCAAAACAAGTTTTGACGGATGTCTCCTTTATGATGGAGGTCACAGCCAACCCACTTCTTAAATCCCCCCCCAGCCCTGCATAAAAGCTGGGATACTTCAATGTAAATGCCTGCAGGAGGTCCCACTAGCAGACCTCTGGTGTCTGTCTGGGTGGTCCTCGGAGGTCCTGGCTCCTGTCTCTCCACACGCTGGGAGACAATGGCACTATGTCCTTCACCCCCCACCCCTTTTAACACACACACACACACACACACACACATATCCCTGCACCCCCCCCTTCCACAGCACTGTACCACAGACTTGACTCAGATTAAAAGTTTCCAGCAGTTTTCATGTTCAGTCTGTGCTTCATTGGGGATAAACCCCTTTTAAAGTTCTGTTTTCCAGAATAAAATATTACACATATTCGACTTTTAAAAAGGATTTCTTTACTTTTTTCCCCTAGTTCCCCAACACTTTCCTCTTTTTCTCCAGCAGCTTGTTTTCTATTCAGTAATTCATTAATAAAACATGAAGAAGTGGTAAGTTAGGGACATGTGGCTGGTTTAAAAAAAAAAAAAAAAAAAAAAAGTGTCTGAACTGATTGAAAAACTCACCGGTGAGTAAAGAAAGCAGCAGCGAGTTCCTCAGCAGTTTCCAGCTCCCCGCCTGCGTCCTCCTGCAGGGGTTTTCCATGACCCTGCAGTCCCTGGGCTGCTTTTATTTTCTTAATCACTGACAGGAGACAACAGAAAGCGCTTCTTTCCCAGTACTTGTAGCGGTCACCTATTTGGCTCTCCCAGGAGCATTGTTGTGCCTCCCCACCCCGCCAACCACCACCCCTTCCTCCCCTCGTTATGACTTCGGGTTTATTTCAATATTTCCGCTCAGAGAGTGGAGCTCCGTTTGTTCCTCCACGTGTGTGTGAGTGAGAGAGCGTCTCCTCTGTCGCCGCTCCGTCCTGTTCCCACACCTCCGACTGCCTGCTGGGCTTTTTATCGCCCTCCCCTCCCCTCCCCTCCCCCGCCGTCCCCAGTTTGCTCAGATTACCCTGTTGAGTTTACGCGGAGGAGAGAGAGAGATAGAGAGAGAGAGAGAGAGAGAGAGAGAGAGAGAGAGAGAGAGAGAGAGAGAGAGAGAGAAGATTGAAGTCACCATATCAAAGAGAAACTTCTGGTCAATATTTTCAAAATAAGACTCTAATTGGGTACTATATGGCAGTGTACATTATTTTGGAATAATTCAGCTAGATTGATCTATGTCTTTTTATCATAATTTGTCATCGTCATTTTATTTTTCTATTATCATATTCGTATATAGATTTCTCTATATTTATTTTTATTTAATAATAATAATGATAATAAGATTATTATTTATCTATTTACTTGTTTATGTATCACAATTCATGCATACGATGCAACACAAACTGCTTATCACAAAAACATATGACATTTATGATAAAAAATAAAAACAAGAAAAATATGATATGTCAAATATGTCATTATTTATCTCCCTTATTTCTTATTGCTTAAAAAATATATTTGTTCTATTCTTATTTATATTATTTGTGCTCATTGGTATCTCATACACACGTTTGTATGTGTAATGTTTATTTTCTATAAACATTATCTAGTGCAAATGTTTAGTCTAGTGTTTTACGAAACGGGGATAATAGCTAATATTTAAAACATCTGTGAAAGCAAGCTGTTCAATTTACTGAATTGTTAAATGTGACATACATGTATGCCTGTTGTGCTTTCTTTTTCCTTCCCTTAGATACTATTGTAAATTAATATTAGTATTCATGCCATGCCAATTATTAAGATAATGATGTAGGATTTTTAATACGATGTCTAGCAGAATAAAAGGAGGCACCCAAAACATCACTGTTTGCTATTCCCTATTCCCTATCACTATTTATTTGGTTTTGATTGAATTTGATTCACTGCTTTGTACACACAGTCAGATGACATTATACAACTGTTTTCACAGGCTGCGTGCTTCCCATGACTGCAGCGTGACCTTTGTGTGTAAAATCAACAAAGTGACCTTTTAAACCTGAAAACAGAATTTCTATCAGACATGTTTTTGTTAATATCTGTTGACTCTGGTCTAGCAGGTTTACCCCATTGTCATTGCTTTACAAATTTAAGGTTGTATTTAAAAAAAAAATCTTAGTAACCGTGGTAGTGTTTAGATTTTGTCATATGAAGGATGTTTTTGAAAGTGGAAAGTTTCTCTGTGCTTATTGAAAATTTGATTTTTAAGGGGCGGGGCCTACAATCATGATTTGTGACATCACTAATAATTTGGGAGTCTTCCCTGGTCCAATATATACAATTTATACAAGTTCATAGATTATGGCATTTTTAATGAGACATAAGTAGATGCCTTTTTAAGGATGTTAATGTGTAAAACATATCAGACACACATTATTGCTCCAAGCAGACTGTTTGCATGTCTTACTACATGTCTGGAGGGGGATTTTTAAATTAGTTTGTGCTTTTATTTTAAAGAATTATCCGTCTTCCGGTCTTATTCCTGTTATGTCTGTGAAGCTTGACGCAGAAAGCGCATGTGCATGGCCTTCTAAATGCGCGCGTGAGTTTCTCTGCTCCCTGACACCTGCTTCGCGTGCTGCCGTCACATCACGACCTCTATTGAGATGAAAGCGGAATCAGACAGTAATGACCCAAAGGGGGCACAGCACTCCGCTTTCGCACCTGTGTGGGAAGTGACTCAGGGTCTATTTTCAGAAAGGAAAAACAACACAAACCGCCTTTCTTCGGGTTTAAAATCTGTCCCTGGAGCCATTGTGTAAGAGATGGGGGTAACCTGAAAACATCATCCCTTTAACACAGAACATATGTCAAAGAGACACAAGAACACACTCCTGATAAGATGAAAGAGTTTTTGTAGTTTGAAGGGAGTTCTTGTTGCTGGTGAGGAGGGATGCGGAAAAATAGTCTAACCCCAGAGGGCCAAACCAAGCACTAAAACGGGGCAGCGAGGGCCATGATGGGTCTCTATAGCAGTAAGGCAGCATCTAAAAGAAAGGAACGTTTTTATTTACCACTGAAAAGGAAACTCTTACATTCTTTGCTGGATTTCCAACTGGGATACTGGCCCTTGGCCCCAAGTCTTTAGGTTTACTGAGTCATATCATATTCATAGGTCTGTTTTTATTAGAGCATAATGACCTGAACATTTTGTTACCTTAGAATTAGAGTTTTTATCTACAGCGGGAACAGGTCCTCCTTTGGCGGACTCCGCCATGTTTCTACAGTAGCCAAGAACAGATAAACCAAACACTGGCTCTAGATAGGGAACTTTTTTCAATGTTTCACAGCCACCATAGTTTTTTTCGCATGGTTCAGTGAAGAGGTTTCAATTGGTTGCTATCTGACCATTAGATGCCACTAAATCCTGATCATCACACATATTGGTCCTTTAATTGAAAATTAAAACTAGTTTGATCCATGTCAAAATGTTGTTTAAGTTATCTGCTTGCATATTGCATCTTCCATTATTAATATGTTTAGTTAATCTGGACCCACATATTCTAGCACCTGTACCCATTTCACAGAGAGTAAGGAAGAGTAGGTTGATAGGGCCCGGGAACTTAATAGGAGCCTCATGCCTAGAGGAAGTCACCCTATGGCTGGGGGGGAGTCAAGACCAGAGACATGAAATCGCATCACAGTGGAGGGAATAGTGTTAAACCTAACCTGGTAGGGTATAATATCTTTGTCAAGCAACAAGTAAGGGGGGGGGGAGGACTTTGATTTACCACTGAATGGATACCCACGACAAAAAGAGCAGGGGCAGACCACCACCTCTACACACCCCCCTCTGTGCTGGGAATACTTTGGATCAAAAACACCACTTGTGCTAACCTGTAGAGACTTAATTATAGTCGTAAAACTGATCATTAAAGAGCTAAATTATAGCTGTGAAAAGGCCCCTGGTAGGATGTTAGCAACCATAAAACTTCACCATCCAAAAGTGGTGTGCATTAAAGGACCAGTGTGTAGGATTTAGTGGCATCTAGCGGTGAAGTCGCAGATTGAATACCACTTGGAGGACTGCGAAACTCATGTAAAGCTAGTGTTTGGTTTGTCTCTTCTGGACTACTGCAGAAACATGGTGGTGGACTCCGCCAGAAGAGGTCCCACCCCCTCTGTAGATAAAAACGTCTGGTTTCTGTTTGTGATTATTCACTAGTGAAAGCTCATGTATCCTCTTAAATGTTACACACTGGACCTTTAAAGAATAATGTATAAATATATACTTTAAAGGGATTTAGCTTTTTTTGGTTTTAGGTAAAAATAGCAGCAACAGGAAAGCAGCAATGCAGCAATAATTGCACAGGACAAATAAAGTAGATTTTTCTAATATGTGTTAATAAGGAGATCAGTAAATTATGCGATCAATATTTTTACCTTCTATTCCATTTACTGCGCAGACCTGACTGAAGCCTTTGGCCACAGTGGAATAGATTCTTCCTTTGAAGTTTGGAAAACTGGACCAAATTTGCCATAATTTAAACAAACTTTTATGGGCAACCAAGGGTGGCAAAAGGATGAAGATAATTTAGTCTCGGAAATGCCACCCACATTGAGCAGCGATGATTCATAATGCCTTCCAGATGTTGCTTTTGAGCGGTAAGGAAGCTGAGACAGAAAAAAACAAGCAGGTAAAAAAGGTTACATGCGTACATATTAATGATATTTTCCTCCCTGGTTGTGTGTATTTTTCTGTCAATTGTGAGGTCAGAAAAAAAAACCGCATTCAGTATACATCCTCGCCTACAGCAGTTGTTTAGGCTTACAGAGTCTGGTAACACATTATGCTATTACGCAGATTACAGAGATGGCCAATCTTCTTCTTAACCATCCATAATTACAGGATAATTATTTCCTTTCTGCTGCAGTGGGAGCTGACAAGGCGGGAGATCATCTTCCTGGGGGCCCAACAGGAAGTGTCTCACAGGCTTCGGCCTTTTAGTGACAGTGCTGAGGTATTTTCTGGTTCCAGCCGGGGGTCCGGAAGGTTCAGGGGAGGATGCCCGACCACGGAGAATTTAAAACAAAGCAAAGAGTTTAAGATGTGAATTCTACAGCTTTCAGAATGGCATTCATCTCTAAAAAAATAACTGATGTGGTGTATGTCTACATTACAATGGCCGCTTGTTTGTCGAATCTAAAACGGTGCATCAGTGCGGCTTTGATTAGAGCAATTTTAGAGCAGCAGTTGTTCAGCAGTCTGATTGATCTAATGTGACGTCAGTATATTCCACTATCAGCTCAAGTGTCGGAAATAAGTGTTATTAATTCAACCTTTAGCAGTGACTCACAGCATATTTTTGGACTAATATATTATAATCCACCTTTCTTATCCAAGCCACAACTCCAGTTTGCACATATACTCCAGACAAACAGATAAAAACTCATTTTAAAAGGCTTAATGACTTGGATTAATGATAATAAAATCATTTGGCTGCATTGATTTGGGGGGGGACGGACAGTTAGGCTGTGTGAAAATGTTGCATTGGTATGTTAGCTTTAATTTAAGTAGCAGAGGCTAACAGGTACATGCAACAAATGATATGGAACAGACTGAAAGGCATTAGCACGCTACCATGTCACTTTAAAACATCAATTTTAGACTTAGGCTGCATTACAAACCTGACTAAATGGGCCCCATACCCCCAGAATCCATGAATACCTCCTAAAAGAGTTATTAGGAGAAAATGGCCCCTAGGCTCGCAGCTGATTTAGAGACCGTAGATCCAAATTGGATGACTTGCTGAAATACTCCCATCTAGTGGACAAAACCTGAGTTGCAAAGAAATGCATTCACATTTTGGGTAGGTGAACCCCTTTATTCCAAAATGAAAGCCTGTGAACACCCACACAGGTGTTTTCAGTTATTCTGGATGATTAGACCTCTGCTCGGGTTGAAGTTGGGCTGGTCCTTTGATGGGAA